GGTGCATGTATCATGTTTGTGTGTTACATAATGTGTTTCTTATATAATTTTGAAAAAATATCATAGATAGATTAAGGGAAATGTCTATATTAACGTAATATGCGACATTAATGCGCCCAAGAATTATTATTAATTACTATTATTATTATTATTATTATTATTATTATTATTATTATTATTATTGCATCAAGAGTAGAGAGACTCTTAGTGATTTTTTAAAGTGTACCTACATGCCAGCACAGTGTGTAGGTTTATTTAGGTACAGGTGTACACAAGTTTAATTATCAAGTATAATACATATAAAATATACAATAACTTTAAAACACTTGAAATTTTGGAAAGTTTCCAGACATAATAAGGAGATGTGCTCAGGGAGAATGTAAACACACTTGGTGGGCCGCTGTGACCGTATTAGAAAGACAGGTGGGGGGAGCCGTATAGCGAGTTTTGGTCATAATTTGAAATGTCCGTATTAGCGGAACGCCGTAAAGCGAAACGCCGTAAAGCGGGGCCCTCCTGTATATGCTTCAATGTAAACACTTGATCTATACATCCCCTACCCATTCTAAAACCTCCTTGCTCATCCGTAATCCTACATTCTGCCTTTCCTCTAATTCTTTCAATAATAACCCTACCGTACACTTTTCCTGGTATACTCAATAAACAAATTCCTCTATAATTTTTACAATCTCTTTTGTCCCTCTTCCCTTTATACAAAGGAACTATACATGCTCTCTGCCAATCCCTAGGTACCTTCCACTCTTTCATACATTTTTTTTTTTAACAAGTTGGCCGTCTCCCACCAAGGCAGAGTGACCCAAAAAGAAAGAAAATCCCCAAAAAGAAAATACTTTCATCATCATTCAACACTTTCACCTCACTCACACATAATCACTGTTTTTGCAGAGGTGCGCAGAATACAACAGTTTAGAAGCATATACGTATAAAGATACGCAACATATCCCTCCAAATCGCCAATATCCCGAACCCCTTTTCCTGTAATTATTACTTAAAAGAATAATAAGAAGAAAATTATTTCATACATTTATTAAACAAAAATACCAACCACTCTAACACTATATTCCCCCCTGCTTTTAACATTTGTCATGATCCCGTCAGTTCCAGCTACTTTACCCCCTTTCATTCTATGTAATGCCTCACGCACCTCCCCCACACTCACATCCTGCTCTTCTTCACTCCTAAAAGATGGTACACCTCCCTGGCCAATGCATGAAATTACCGCCTCCCTTTCTTCGTCGACATTTAAAAGTTCCTCAAAATATTCCCGCCATCTACCCAATACCTCCATCTCTCCATCTACTAACTCTCCTACTCTGTTTTTAACTGACAAATCCATATGTTCCTTAGGCTTTCTTAACTTGTTTAACTCACTCCAACTTTTTTTCTTATTTTCATCAAAATTTATTGACAGTGCCTCTCCCACTCTATTATCTGCTCTCCTTTTGCACTGTCTCACCATTCTCTTCACCTTTCTTTCACTCTCCGTATACTCTGCTCTTCTTATAACACTTCTGCTTTGTAAAAACCTCTCATGAGCTACCTTTTTCTCTTTTATCACACCCTTTATTTCATCTTCCACCAATCATTCCTCTTTCCTCCTGCACCCACCCTCCTATAACCACAAACTTCTGCCCCACATTCTAATACTGCATTTTTAAAACTATTCCAACCCTCTTCAACCCCCCCCCCCACTACTCATACTTGCACTAGCCCCTTTTCTGCCAATAGTTGCTTATATCTCACCCGAACGCCCTCCTCCCTTAGTTTATACACTTTCACCTCTCTCTTACTTGTTGTTGCCATTTTCCTCTTGTCCCATCTACCTCTTACTCTAACTGTAGCTACAACTAAATAATGATCCAATATATCAGTTGCCCCTCTATAAATATGTACATCCTGGAACCAACCCATCAACCTTTTATCCACCAATACATAATCTAACAAACTACTTTCATTATGTGCTATATCATACCTTGTATATTTATTTATCCTCTTTTTCATAAAATATGTATTACTTATTACCAAACCTATTTCAGCACACAGCTCAATTAAAGACTCCCCATTTTCATTTACACGTGGCACCCCAAATTTACCTACTACTCCCTCCACCACATTTTTACCCACTTTAGCACTGAAATCTCCAACCACAAGTACTCGCATACTTTGTTCAAAACTCCCCACGTATTCACTCAACATTTCCCAAAATCTCTCTCTCTCTCTCTCCTCTACACTTCTCTCTTCTCCAGGTGCATATATGCTTACTATAACCCACCTTTCACATCCAGCCTTTATTTTACTCAACATAATCCTTGAATTAATACATTTATACTCCCTCTTTTCTGCCATAGCTTATCCTTCAACATTATTGCTACTCCTTCTTTAGCTCTAACTCTATTCGAAACCCCTGACCTAATCCCGTTTATTTCTCCCCACCGAAACTCTCACATTATTATTATTACTGAATTAACCAAATGATTTGGAAATCCAAATGGAGTCCACTTTGATCCCTATATCACATTTCAGATATTTTTTTTTATTAACATATCAGCTGTTTCCCATGTTTGACACAGTACTGTACTAAGGTTTTTGGCGTAATATTTTTTTTTTTATTAACACGTCAGCCGTTTCCCACCAAGGCAGGGTGACCCCAAAAAGAAGAGACACTTTTGTCATCAATCATTCTATCACTGTCTTGCCAGAGGCATGCCTACACTCCTAATCACAAAAATCTTTGAAAGGGTCCTATGAAGCAAGATCGCCATCCATCTAGATACCCATCAGTTACACAACCCAGGGCAACATGGGGTTAGAGCAGGTCGCTCCTATCTGTCCCAACTACTGGATCACTACGACAAGGTCCTAGATGCACTAGAAGACAAAAAGAATGCAGATGTAATATATACAGACTTTGCAAAAGCCTTCGACAAGTGTGACCATGGCGAAATAGCGCACAAAATGCGTGCTAAAGGAATAACAGGAAAAGCTGCTAGATGGATCTATAATTTCCTAACAAACAGAGTAGTAGTCAACAGAGTAAAGTCTGAGGCGGCTATGGTGAAAAGCTCTTTTCCGCAAGGCACAGTACTCGCTCCCATCTTGTTTCTCATCCTCATATCTGACATAGACAAGGATGTCAGCCACAGCACCCTGTTTTCCTTTGCAGATGACACCCGAATCTGCATGACTGTCTTCCATTGCAGACACTGCAAGGCTCCAGACAGACATCAACCAAATCTTTCAATGGGCTGCAGAAAAGAACGATGAGAAATTTCAATTACTCAGATATGGTAAACATGAGGAAATTAAAACTTCATCAGAGTATAAAACAAATTCCAGCCACAAAATAGAGCGAAAAACCAGCATCAAAGACCTGGGAGTGATCATGTCGGAGGATCTCAACTTCAAGGACCATAACATTGTATCAATCACATCTGCTAGAAAAATGATAGGATGGATAATGAGAACCTTCAAAACTAGGGATGCCAAGCCCATGATGACACTCTTCAGGTCGCTTGTTCTATTTAGGCTGGAATATTGCTGCACACTAACAGCACCTTTCAAGGCATGTGAAATTGCTGACCTAGAAAATGTACAGAGAACCTTCACGGCACGCATAACGGAGATAAAACACCTCAATTACTGGGAGCACTTGAAGTTCCTGAACCTGTACTCCCTGGAACGCAGGCAGGAGAGATGCATGATTATATACACCTGGAAAAATCCTAGAGGGACTAGTACCGAACTTGCACATGAAAATCACTCACTACAAAAGCAAAAGACTCAGCAGAGGATGCAACATTCCCCCAATGAAAAGCAGGGGTGTCACTAGCATGTTAATAGACAACACATAAGTGTCGGGGCCCAAGACTGTTCAACTGCCTCCCAGCATACATAAGGCGGATTACCAATAGACCCCTGGCTGTCTTCAAGCAGGCACTGGACAAGCACCTAAAGTCGGTACCTGACCAGCCGGGCTGTGGCTCGTACGTTGGATTGTGTGCAGCCAGCAGTAACAGCCTGGCTGATCAGGCTCTGATCCACCATGAGGCCTGGTCACAGACCGGGCCGCGGGGGTGTTGACCCCCGGAACTCTCTCCAGGTAAACACTACAGTTAAAAAACTGCAACATATCAACACCCCTTCCTTCAGAGTGATGGCACTGAACTTCCCACTTCCAGGACACAAGTCCAGCTAACTGGTTTTCCCTGAATCCTTTCATAAATGTCATTTTGCTCACACTCCAACAACACGTCATGTCATAAAAACCATTTGTCTCCACTTGCTCCTATCTAACATGCTCACACATACTTGCTGGAAGTCCAAGCCCCACCCACCCACTCACCCACCCACACACACACACACACACACACAAAACTTGTACCCACCCCCCCTCCAACCCTTTCTAGGATGACCCCTATCCCATCTACCTTCCACTACAGACTTATATGCCCTCCAAGTCATTCTATTTTGTTCCATTCTCTCTAAATGTCCAAACCACCTCAACAACCCTTCCTCTGCTCTCTGGACAATACTTTTAGAAACTCCGCACCTCCTGATCTCCAAGCTATGGATTTTCTGCATTATAGTCACACCGCACACTGCCCTCAAACACATCACCTCCACTGCCTCCAGCCTTCTCCCTGTTGCAACATTCATCACCCATGCTTTATACTCATGTAAGAGCATTGGTACCACTATACTCTCATACATTTCCTCTCTTTGCTTCCACTGACAATGTTCTTTGTCTCCAGACACTCCTCACTATTCCACTTACATTTTTACCTTATTTTTTTCATATTATCCAAGATATACTGTACTGAAATTCTCATTACTTAAATAAAATGAGATGCCTTAAACAAAAAAAGTGGGCTCTAGCAATTTTAGAAATGCCCATTTTCAACTAGAAGAAAATATATACATGATGCAGGTGACAGTAATATTTCCATACCTACACTTTAAAGAACTTTAGTCTTGCTTACCTTTGCCAAGTCCCCGAGACTCACTTGATATTCTTAGAGAGATATCATCACCTGAATTCAGCTTCGCCTTAAAACGATCAAATAAGCTTCTGTCAGGAGAATCTTTGTCTACTTTCAATACCTGTTCCATTAGCAACCTGAGAGAAAAAATATACAATGAGGGAATAATTGTTATGGGAGACTTTAAAAGTGGGACACAAAGTTACAAAGGATTTTGGAGTGATGTAAGTTACAATGGAGACCTATAATTGATGTGTGTTTGGAAAGCATTGATAACACAGTACCAATTTTAAGAGAAAGAGGATAAATAAATATACGAGGAATAACATCTGGACATAAACAATTTTAGGGAAACAACTGAAATGTTAGACCATTATTTAGTGGCAGATCAAGTAAAAATAAGAGCAAAGCAATACAGGAAGAATAGTGTTAGAGTATAAAAAAGAATAGTTAAAGTGAATAAACTAAATATGAAAATAATTAGTGAATAACATTAGAAGCTCTTGGAAGAAAGGTGGGTCAGAGTGAGACAATGATAAGTAGGTACTGTATGGTATGGAAGTAAGAATGCAGTGCTAGTGTGTGCAGCAGTGGTTTGTGATTATGAGGGTGGATGCAAGAAGAGGACTGCCTAGTGGAATAATAAAGAAAAAAAAGGGCAGTAAGGGGGAAAAGTAAGCATAAGAAAGATTTTTACTATTTAAAAATGGAGAGTATTGGGACACAAAAAGAGGTTACAAGAGTGGTGAGAGAAACAGCAAAAGCAAAGACTGTGAGAGAATAATTGAGTATTTTTTAGCAATGTTGACTGAGGCTAAGAGGCCTGGGAAGCAAATGGACTTGGAAGTTAAGAGTGAAAAGGTGAGATGTTTGATGAAAAGGTAGAAGTATTTAGGTGGAGAGAATACTTTATGGATAGACCAGTGACAAACCTGAATAATAAATAAGAGGCTGTGATTTCATGCACGGGGCAGGAATAAAATAGAATCGGTTAGGAGGAGGGAGGAGCTAGAGGTGAGTGTGGAGGAAGTGGGCGAGGTGTTAGGTATGTGAACAAGCAATAAGGATTAATGCAGGTTTGAAGATATGAAATACTAAAGAAAAATATACTGAAGATGAGGCTTGAATTTTGAATACACAATAATTTAAGTGCTACTCCAACTAGAAGAGCCTTCATAATAATTCATACTATCTCCCTTCCCTGCAGATACACACACATACAAGTAACTATTCTTTAGTTAATGGACTGAAATTAAAGAGACAGTTACTCACTTTTTTGAATAAAGGAGAGCCATGTCTGATGACGTACTGAGCACTGCCTCCACAATAGTAATACAATGGTCAGCCTGAGAGCCAAGGTGCAGTAACACCTCATTCTTCTTATCCAGCTGCTCCTGTTTGCTATTACACACTTCACGCAAAATTTCGAACGGGGGTTCCCACGCTGTCTGAAAATTTCAAAAAAACCCTGTGGAGTGAAAAAATGCTTTTAACGAAAAAAAAAAAAAAAAAAAAAAAAAAAAAAAAAAAAAAAAAAAAATAAATAAATAAAAAAAATAAATAAAAAAAATATAAAAATTACATACATACATACAACATACATTATAAATATATATATATATACATACATCATACATAAAAAATATTCAAGGTGTGGTTTACCCCCTTAAAGGGGGCAACTGGGCCCATTTTAAAAAAAGGAGAAAAAAGGGCAAATAAAATAAAACTTCTTGAAATTTAGGTTGGAGACAGCAACCCCCAGGGAGGTAAACCGCCGGGCCAAGTGAGTGTAAAACAAAGCCTGTGATTTTTTTTTACATGATGGTAGGATTCGATGTCTTTTGTCTGTCTCATAAATATGCGTTTCAGGATTCCTTCTCTTTTACTTACACTTAGGTCACCTACACATACAGTACACATTTTTTTAAAAAACACTCATCTGAGTTTTCTTTGATTTTTTCTTAATATGTTTTTGGGCTTATTTTTTTTCCTTTTTTTATCCATGGGGAAGGGGTAAGAACCCCCGGCCATCGTTTTAAAACAACAAAATGCCGGGCAAGGGCTAAATCCCCCCCAAAATTATAAAAGAAAAAAGGAAAACAAAGGGGGCAAGTGCGGGGGGCAGATAAAAGAAAAAAGATTTGAGGATGAGAAAACAGTCCCTTTTGTGAAACAAACGAAGGGGGGAGGTTTAGTGGAAGGTAGGGAATTACGGGGGGTTTTAAAAAAGGGGAGAGCTAAAGAAGGATAGCAATAATGGAAGGAAAGCTATGGCGAAAAAGGGGGGATAAAAGTAAATCAAAGTTTAGGGGGAAAAAAAAGCGGTGGAAAATGGGGTTAAAAAAAAAAAAGCGGTTTCACCTGGAGAAGAAGAATTAGAGGGGAGAGAGAGATTTTTGGGAAAGTTGGTGAAGCGGGGATTTTTTTAAACCGTGTGAGAGTAAGGGGGGTTTTGGGGGGGTTTCAATGCTAAAGGGGTAAAAATGTTATGGAGGGAGTAGTAGGAAAAATTTGGGGGCCAGGGGAAATGTAAAGGGGGAGCCTTTAAATTGAGCTGTTTTAAAAAAGGGGATTTGGTAATAACCCAAAACATTTTTTTATGAAAAAGAGGAAAATAAAAATACAAGGTATGATGTAGCCCTGTAATGAAAGGAGTTTATTAATTATGTATTGGTGGATAAAAAGGGTTTATGGGTAGGCCCCGGGGTGTACCAAAGTTTTAAAAGAGGGGGAAAAAGATAAAACGGATCATTATTTTTGTTGTAGCTACTTTTGAGTAAGAGGTAGAAAGGAAAAAAGGAAGGTTTGGCCCAAAAACAAGTAAGAAGGGGGGTTTAAAGTGAATAAACAAGGGAAGGAAGTTCGGGGGAGATATAAGCCATTGGCAGAAAAAATGGGCTAGTGCAGAGATGATATGGGGGGGTTTGAAGAGGGTTTAATAGGGTTTTTAAAAAACCCCGTATTTAAAAAAGGGGGGCAGAAGTTTTTTTTGGCCCATAGGAGGGGGGGGGCCGGGGGGAAAGAGGAATGATTGGGGGAAGATGAAGTAAAGGGGGGTTTTAAAAAAGGAAAAAAGGAGGTTATGAGAGGGTTTTTTTAAAACCGAAGGTTATAAGAAGAGGCAAGTTTTAAAGGGGGTAAAAGAAAAAGGAAAAAAGAGGTAGAGAGTGAAAAAGAGAGCAATGATAAGGGGAGAGGCACTGTCAAGAAATTTTAATGAAAATACAAAAAAATTTTGGATTAAACAATTTAAAGAAAGCCAGGGAAAGATGGATTTGCATTTAAAAACAGAGAGGGAGTTAGTAGATGGGGAAGGAGATATTAGGTAAGGCGAGAATTTTTTGGGAATTTTTAAAGTTAAGGAAGAAACAGGGGCAGAAATTTCATGCACGGGGTCAGGGAGGTAAAACCATCTTTTGGGAGTGAAAAAAGGGCAAATGTAAGTGAGGAAGGTACGTGAGGCTTTACTAAAAAAAAAGGGGGGTAAACCGGAAGATGGACATGACAGAAATGTTAAAAGCAGGGGATAAGTGTTGGAGTGGTGGTACTTTGTTTAATAAATGTATGAAAGAGGGGAAGGCCCTAGGTTTGGGGCAGAGAGCAGAAGTCCCTTTTTATAAAGGGAAAGGGGACAAAAAATTTAAAAATATAGAGGAATAAGTTTACCGATTTTACCAGGGAAAGTGTAAAAGGGAGGGTTAATTGAAACTTAAGGTAAGACAGAATTAGGATTGCGGATGAGCAAGGGGTTTCAGAGTGGAGGGGAGTGTAGATCAAGTGTTTACATTGAAGCAAATGGAAAGTATTTAGAAAAGGTAGGGGAAATTCTTATTGCATTTATGGATTTTGAAAAAGGGATACGATAAGTGGAAAGGACAATGTGGCAGATGTTGCAAGTATATAAATGGTGGGAAGTTTTAAATGCTTAAAAGTTTTTATAGGGTAGTGGGCTCAGGTTAGGGTTGGGAGAAGAGAGGGAGACTACTTCCCAGTAAAAAGTGGTCTTAGACAGGGATGTGTAATGTCACCATGGTTTTTTTTAATATTTTTAGATGGGGGGTTTTAAAGGAAGAAATCTAGGGTTTCGGGAGAGGGGGGGGATTAAATTTTGGGGGAATCAAATTTAAAATGGAATTTACAATTAAATTTTTTTTCTGATGAACTGGCTTATGGGGGATTCAAAGAAAAATTTCAAAGCTTAGTGGATGAGTTTGGGAATGTGTGAAAGGTAAAATTGAAAATGAACATAGAAAAAATAAGGTGATGAGGGGTCAAATGATTTAGAAAAGAAAATTGGATAACAAATTTGGGGAAGGAGTAGAAGAAGTGAATTTTTTAGATACTTTTGGGGTTGACGGTCGGCGGGGTGGATTTATGAAGGGGAGGTTTTAAACAAGAAAAGAGGGAAAAAAGGGGAATGGTGCGTTTAGGTATATGGGATCAAAAAACTTATCTAGGAGGCAAAAAGGGAATGTAGAAAGATATTATACCAAAAATCTTTATGGGTGGAAGCTTGGGGGGTAAATGCAGCAGCAAAGGGGAAAAGGGTTTTGAGAGGGGGGGGAAAAGGGGTTTTTGTGGCAAGGGGGCTTGGACTTCCGCAAGCGGCGTGAGGGGTTTTAGATGGGAGTGAAGGGGAAACGAAGGTACTTGGGACCTGACGATGTTGGAGTGTGTCAGGGTAATATTTAGTAAGGGATTCGGGGAAAACCCGGGTTATTTCATAAGTCGGACGAGTCCGGGAAAGGGGAAGTACAATCCCCTGCACAAAAAGGGAGGGGTTTGGGGGATATTGGCTTTTTGGGAGGGATATGTTGTTTTTTCTTTAGTGAGCTTCTAAAACTTTTGTATTCTGAGCACCCCAAAAACAGTGAAAATGTGCGAGGTGGTAAAGTGTTGAATGATGATAAAGTATTTTCTTTTTGGGGATTTTTTTCTTTTTTTTTTGGGTCACCCCCCTCGGGGGGGAGACGGCCGATTTGTTGAAAAAAAAAAAAAAAAAAAAAACTTGAAAACTACTTTGTACTTTAATTTTTAATTTTTTGATTATTAACCCTTTTCAGGGTCCAAGGAAAAAATCCAATCACGCACCTGTCCAAAAAATTTTGAAAAAAAAAAAAAAAAAATTTTTCTTCAAAAATTTAAAGACATATTTTTTGAAGGTAAAAAACAAAAAAAAATAGAACTGCCGTACTTACCGAGAACAGTCCCAAGAATTTATAGAAAATACGGGGTGGTGGCAACACGACGAATTCTACATACGGATAATTATTTTTTGTTTTAGTTTTTTTTTTTTTTCTTTTCCAATTTTTTTTCTATTCCTACTAACATTTGGGGCCTGAAACCAATACTGTATTAATTGAATAATATATCCTGTATTGAACACAATAACCGCACTGAAGTTATTATCAATATTTTTACCACTTTGTTTATACAATAAACATGCACAAATTTTGTATAATACTAATGTTCTATCATTATTTACATTTTTTAAATACGGGACAGGGTTTTTAAAACTGCTGGAGCTTGTGGACCCCCTTAAACAAGCACCAGCACAAGGCCCTTACATTCCTACACATAAACCGAGTGCTTTGCGTCTTTGTTGCCGTATTTTGTTTGTGCACAGAAATGCATCTCTTCTGAGCAAATTTTTTTTGAGTTAAGGAAGTGTTTATAAAAATGACCCCTTTCTCTCCCAAAACGCTTGGGTAATTGTGATGAATTCGAGACCATGTTGATTGCAGTGTTTTTTTACCTGGTACTTCATTATGATTTTTTCGACAACAACAAAAAAAAATTCACCAACTGGTTTTTACCAGTCTTTTTTTTGGTACTATTATACATTCAGCATTGAAAGTCCAGAGATGGAGAAAAGTTTCAAGTACCACTTTCCCTTTACGAACACAGTAAACAAAACCAATCTGCATGTCACACTTGTAAACCCAAAGGGCCCATTTTTGTGTAAAATAAATCTTTGACACGGGTTTTTTCGAAAACGTTCATTTGTCACTCGATCAACTTTGCCCCTGCTTGCATTTCATTACGGGATGGTTTTTCAATAATGTGACATCTCGTTTGTCATGCCACCCTAATGCCATGATGTCATTGGGGTAAACACCTGCACGTCTCAAAACCCCGAACACCTGCGTTGAGCCGGGGAATGTTTTACGATTTGAACCACTTGCCACACACACTGTCTTTTTTCACTCGCATGAAATCACTGAGTAATGGGCTTGTGTACCATTATCGGTATATAATGTTGGCCCTTACCCAAAATAAAAGGTGCCATCATGTTTTCACTACGTCACCGAGATACCCAATAACATCTTGGTATCTTTCAATGTTTTCTACCCCTTATACAACAATACCAACACAGGCCACGTCACAATCACAGAGACAAACAAATTTTATACCAAGCGGTTCCTTTGCCGGTATTAAAATGCTTGGGAAAGAAGTTAAACCTTTTAA